TGCAAATACTAATAATATATATATATATATATATATATATATATATATACACACATGTAATGTATTATAAACAAAAGGTGCCTATTTTACAAAATACTGGTCTATTAGGACAAAGCCAAGACAGATCACTTTGTAAAGGCTAGTTTTATATTATTAAATATAGTAACATGAGTACACGTGTGCTGTATCATTGCAAGTTCTGTAATATTTGTCAGACTCAGCTGGAAAATCAATAAAATATAAATATATATATAGATGTATAATGTTATAAGATTTAAGGTACTTAGACTAAAAATTTGTGGTTTTGTGTTATAATTTGTAGTCATTCTTGAATGAAAAAATTGTAATTTAAGTCTGTTTTCTAATTGTCTATGGTGGTTACAAGGTCGGTCAAATCAACCAAACCTATACAAAGATACATTCGTGAAAATATAAAGTTTTTCAAAAAAAAAAAATGTTTGATAATTATCTGGAGGCTATAGAAGTTTCATGTGTGAAATTTGACAATTTTCTGATGTATAAAAGTATTTATAATCTTAAAATCAAAATTACTTCTTGTTGGATAGTCAACATTCGAAAAGAAAAAATGCACAAGTAAATCATTACTTAAGATATCTTCAAACTTCATTTAAAAAATCTGATATTTTATATATGAAAGTGTTGTAATGTTTACTGAAAATCTGCAAAATTTTGTGAAGATACTCATACTGTATTAAAAGTTATAGTCTGAAAACTATAACAAGCACAAAATGGTTACAAGGTCGGTCCCTGGGACCGAGCCCGTAGTGAGAGAGTTAAAGCAACTGCAAACATTAGCCAGTGGCCAAACCAATTGATTTCAAGCCCTGCCTTTTTAAACTATCTGTTGACATATACACATGATATAGAAGAGAATGAGTTTTAGATTTATGGTCATAATTACAAGTACTTGTTTTAATTTCTAAAAACAATCTTTATTAAGAAAAACAGTTATATATCTTACACATGCACCTAATATTGATGCTGGTTATTAATTAAAAAATAAAAATTTTCATAAGTGGATGTTGAGTGTGTTCGGAATAAAATAATGCAAGACTACAATGTTAAATAGTAAAGGGATCGAAGATTAGTGTTTCATTGCCAAGATAGCAACTCAAAGTGTATATGTCTAAAGACAGTTGTTTCTTTATAAAGCATCCTATTACGTATTACAAACAGGTGTTTTATTGCAGAAGTTCGAACTGCCGAGAAAGTGTATTTTTATATAAAATGTTAGTTATACAATGTTTAGATTTACTTTAACATTTTTTTATTTTGTTATGAGAAGTTCTAATTTAAAAGATATGGAATTTTGAAAATTCTTGTGAGTAGAAGCAATTCCCGTCAATCAAAACTTGTAGCACATTAACTTATTAATTACCAATTAACGTAGAGCTATTTCAGAATCAGTCTATAACATGATACTATTTCTAATAAGATCCAAGAATGTTGTTCTTAATAAGAATATCAAAATTTACGAGATTCTCACACACACACAAGGAAAGATGGAGGGAAAGTTATTTTTACAGAATGCAGTGTTATAAAAATTTTGTACATATCAAGAGTAAAATGCTATCAACTTATAATGGGCTTCATATTTTGCCACAGTTCAAAAAAGTTGTGTAACACAGCTGATTTATTGATGAAAATAGTTTATTAAAACAAAAACATTGATATTTAAACAAAAATTAGCATGTAAAATAAAATGATTCAAAGCAATAAAGTAAGATAGACCATTTATTAATCTTGTGGAACAAGGGCAATAAAGAAGTTAATGTCTTGCAATTTTCTCCCAAAAACTATTTACATAACCCATATTGAATGTGTTGCTGCTTAAGAATATTAAATTTATCTTTGTTATAAATTTACCAAAATTCACCGACTTGAGATACTCCTAGGAGTGATATCCACATGTTAAGTTTAACTGGGTTCAATTATATCAAAATGGTGTGAATGTGTGTCTGCATGATCATGTTGATTAGCATTTCCAGTAATCAATTGTATATGGTATGGAATCTTGAGACTAGATAAAGACATTTATGATAATTTCACAAAGGCAAGTTAAAATTGTCTTTTGGTTTGTGATAACACTTTTTATTTGAGTCTGACAATTTCTTCAATACTTGATTTTGTCAACATATTTTTTAATGAGCTTTGTTTAACATTTGACTTCATTTTTTAAATGATATTTTTCAAAATTGCAAGTTATTGTAAAATTCGCAAAGAAAGAAAAGATAACTAGTTCACTACACTGTGCACTTAACTTATGATTCTTAAATACTACATTTTGATAATAAAAGGTATTGTAAGAGATGGCAAAATATATTTTAAAGAAATTCTAATTGATAGTGACAATATTATTTGGACTTTGGATAAAATTTGTTTTGAATTTCCACTGAGTTGCCATAATTATGTCTGACTGAGTGGTGTTTTTAATATAACCAGTCACCTGCTTCAATTACAGAAACAAAAGTGTTCGTGGACCTGTTGTTTGGCACCCTTAACAGCAAGTCATACTTGAAGCATCAACAGCTTACAGGAATACCTGTTCTGCCACCAGTAACAATTCATCCCATAACCACAATTGTCAGTGGTTCTGACAATACCCAAGCACAAACATCATTGCCTAACGGCACTCCTTCAAATGCCAAAGTGGTTGTGACCATAGCAGCTCAGCAACCAACTCCTGCTGTGACTGCAAAGCCTGATGTGAGAAAATTCAAATCAGATGGAGTAAGTGACATGCTGTGTTTATACAAGTATGAAATATGTAACTTTGAAATTGCATAATTGATGGGTCAGTATTCTAGACAAAAATGAAAAATCTTAACAAAGGGTATGATCTTTATTTACTGTTTTTGATCTCTGTTCTTATACATACAAGCTCAGTACAGCATGTTAGAATTTGAGATAAGTTTTTCTCCATAAAAAATATTTGGAGGTCATCTATCCCCCCTGGAGGCCCTGGCTAACATCCAACAGGGGGATCAGAATACCCATTAAGAATGGCTCAATAATAGTTTCAGGAGTGGTGCTAGCATGTTGGGGGCCCTAAGCACAAATATTTTTGGACACCATCACCAAAATTGCAATATTTCTGCGAACAAGAACTACACAATCATTACACATACTGATACACTTAACCCCTTTCGTGACAGGTCACGTGTCAAAGGCCATGTCATCGCATTTGTTGACTTGCATTCAAAATTTTACTGAACTAGCATTTTATGAATTTATGTCTAAGTTTTGTATCAAATTGTAGATTATAATTCAAATTTTATTTTTATACGTTAGTTAATTTCTTAATTTAATAGTAAATATTAAAAACACAGCGAAGCATTGATTTTTTGTGTGTCACGTGGTATATTGAATGCAGCACTGGTTCAAATTAGATGTTTGTGATGTAAAAATATTAAGTCTAATTAGTTTCATATGAATTAGGAACTCAAGTTACCGATATTGACAAGCTAGAATATAAAATAAGAACCTCTTATATTTTCTATTTGCTGAGATATCGCTCTTGTATTGAATCAAACACAGTAGCTCCGCTCACCTCTTTCCATTTTTGGAAATTGCCCCTTATATACACTTACTTCTGTCTATGACGTGTGAATAACCGATCAAAAAGCTCAGAATGTCCCCCTCTAAGCCATTTTGATGTGTTATGTTAAGTTTGTTTTTTCACACAAGATTTCAAACACTAAGGTAAGTCTTTAGTGAGCTCAAAATTTCATATTTTTTTGGACCCAAATACAGCTTAGTTACTAAGCTTGATAAATTATAGTGGAATTATATGATATTGATATAGTAATTTATTACATATTGTTATTTCAAAATGTATATATAAAACCTAAACAAAAAATTTTCTTTTCACATCCTCCATGTGGGAAATTTCATAAGGCTTAGCAACCTATGACAAGCGGCAAAGAAGTACAAAGGTCACAACTGGAAGAGATAATCGTTTGCCATACTTTTTTATTTAATGTTGTATGTTTTATGAAAAAAATACTAGTCCACTAAAAAACAGTCAAGACAGATCACTTTCTAAACGCCAGTTTTATATTCTTGAATATGGTATCATAAGTGCATGTGCGCCATATCATTGTAACTTCTGTATTGTTAGCCAGATACGACTGGAAGGTCAGTAAAATAAAGATAATAAATATATATAAATGTATAATGTTATGAGATTTAAGCTATTTAGACTAAACATTTGTGTTTTCATGTTACAATCTGTAGGCATTCTAGAATGAAAAAAGCATAATTTATATTTTTTTCCTAATTTTTTATTGAAGTTACGAAGTTGGTCAAATTGAACCAACCCGCACAGAAATACAGTAGTGAAAATAACAAATAAAATATAAAGATTTTTCTAAAACAAATTTCATAATTATCTGGAGATTATACAGATTTTGCATCTGAAATTTGAAAATGTTCTAATGCATTAAAATATTTTTAATCTTAAAATCAAAATTACTTTGCATGTTGGATAGTTAACATTCTGAAAGAAAAAGGTTTACAAGAAAATCATTAATAAATAAATCTTAATACCTAATTTAAAAACCTGATATTTTGTGTATGAAAAACCTTGTAATGTTTACCAATAACCTGCAAAATTTTGTAAAGATGTGCGTACATTATCAAAAATCATAGTGTAATTACTCTCATGGATACTTTTGTGTTTACAAGCTGGGTGGATTCCACCCATCCCATAATGGAAGGGTTAAAGAGCCATTTCTATTGACACTAACACCATTGTGCCAGTATTTATATGAAATGTTTTGTACTTAATAACTAGTCAGTACATGAGTACTGCAAGTGTGTCTGAAAAGTGTTTTGTTGCTACAATTTCCAAACATCTATCCACTATTTAGCAATGTGTTTTTATCACTTTTACAAATAAATACAATAGCAAAACTCAAAGATCTGATCAAAATAAAATACCCATAAATAGGGGATCCCTTGGGCTGTTCGGGGGTAAAAGCAGTTGCTTAGTCTACTTATGCCTAGGCTGCTGCTAAATAGTTTCATATTCTTTGACTACTCTGACATAGATATTGATGCTTTAGGCTATGAGAATAAGGGTATTGTAAATTCATTGTAAATTTTGTCTGTCATTTGTCCAAGGATAACTTTAATGATTTCTCATTTAAGTTTAGAAATTGATTTGTTTTGAGCTATTATTAGCTGTGAGTGAAATGAAGGCAAATATTAGCATTTATATATGTAAGTATGTATGTGAAGAAACTTCACACAGAACTCCTTTTGTAAGAAACTTTTTTTTACATATTTTATTTTTAAATAGACTGTAGATGGTGAGAACAGGGAATCCAGAAGGCCAGGTCTCAAGAACCGAAGTCGTAGTCCTGTTGGACGAAGTAACAAAAGGTATCAGTTTCCTTTGAATTTAAAACTTGTGCATGTATTATATATTCAAAACTCATGCATGTATAATATTTCCATTTGTTGACATGTATATTTAGTTGTGAATGTTAATTTTTTCATTTTATTCAAGAATAGCAACTTTTCATCTCTATTATAGTGATTTCAAATATTTTATCTTGGTTTATCTATCCATAAATTTTTCTCTTGTTATTACTCTTGGCTGTTATCTTGTGGTGAGATCATTTTTACCCACTTTGATTACTGGATTAACTTTTGTACAAGATTAAATTTCTTCATTCAAAGCTCTATGACTTGTATCTCCATATTACTTTCTTTATGTTATTATTTTTAACCTCCATCATAATCATGCTGCTGATTGTATCATAGAACTTGTCTTATCTTAACATCTTCAATCTCCATCACCATCAGTTTCTTACTTATTGTTATTATGTATTTTGTTACCTGATTTTTCTTATTCTTGAGTCATTGGTTTGTTACTATCATTGTTATAATAGCTACCTTATTTCACTATCCTTTAATCTCCATCATCAGCATGTCTCAGTTGTTATTATGGTACTTGCTTTGTTTTACAATCCTTAATTCCCATCAGCATGTCCATCTTATTTTCATCATGTATCACAGTACTTTCTTTATATTACTATCCTCTAACCTTTATCATCAATGAATCTCTTGCTTATTGGCAATAAGTACTTGCCTTATTTCACTGTTATTAAATTCCATCACAATCAGCCACATGTATATTATTGTTATAAATCACCCTTCCATAGCTATTATAAAATATATCTTTATTTAAATAATTTTTACAAATTCTCATGCAGGTAGTTAATGCCTTCCTGGTTAAACAGATGCATGAAGTATGAATGTCGTAAACTTGTGATAATCTTCTTGCGTGTTTTTGTTAAGGTTATATACTACAACGATTATTCTATAGGCCTTGTTTCTTTGTCAATGTGCTAAGGTGAAGTTGTGCTTATTTTTTAGGATTAGTACCAATATTTCTAAGACTTAGTATGAGTTATGTGTTTTTCCATTATTTATTTTTTATTAGAAATGTTCAAATGCGTATTAGAAAAGGGTAAAAAAAAGTTGACTAATTTCACAAAACTTGATGCATTTGTGAAATGTTCAGAAGGGTTTTTATTTCTATTAAAAGTAGGTGACCTTGCTTTTTGTTACAATGTGTAAAGAACTTAACTGTAAAAATGTCAAAATAAAAGAGACTTAATTTTTACCTTTCACTCATCATCTGGTAACCCTCTTTTGTCATTTTCCTGTTTTGAAGAAAATGTTACATTTGGAATCATTTTATTTCCAGAGATCCAGATGATAGAAGAAGTCGAAGGTATGTGGATGATGATCGACGTAGAAGGCCATATCCTAGCCATAGATATGACAATAGGTACAGAGATTTCAAAAATCATAGGCCACCCTTATCCATTGATCGTGATAGAGAGAGGGATAGAGATAGAGATTCTAGACCAAACAGGGACAGAGAATTTGGTAACAAAGATCGTTCTGCTGTAGATAGAAGTCGAAGTAGGTCCAGAAGTTGGAGCCGTTCAAGATCAAGGTCACGATCTTGTTCTCCATCATCATCAGGATCTAGATCCCGGAGTCGGTCTCGATCATTTTCTAGAGACAGATCAAGAGGTAGTGTATGTTTTAAAAATGGCCATTTTGGAGTGTTTCAACTAATAAAGTGCTCATTTTAAAATGTTTCAACGAATGGCCATTTTGAAGTGTTTCAACTAATAGAATGGTCATTTTGAAATGTTTCAACTAATGGCAATTTTGAAGTGTTTCAACTAATGGCCATTTTGGAGTGTTTCAACTAATAAAATGGTCATTTTAAAATGTTTCAACTAATGGCAATTTTAAAGTGTTTCAACTAATAAAATGGCCATTTTGATTTTTTTTTAACTAATGGCCATTTTGAAGTGTTTCAACTAATCAAGTTTTGCAATGCATCTCTGACTTCTCCATACTTGGACTCGTATTTGCTCCCTCCACTTTCATGCAAAGTGAATGCTTGGAAAGAACTTTGATTTTTAAGTTAGGCACTATCTTTCCCTTTGGAATGAATGAAGACTTCTCTTTCCTCTAACTTTATCCTCTCCATTTCCCCACCTTACATTTTCCCTTATACTTGATTTACACTTTCTCACACTGTAAATTTGTTTGCACCACATTGTTATTCAATGTGTGCACTCCTTTTCCTCCCTAGCCTGATCACTTTAGTCACCCGCAATTGTTCCATTTATATTCATTACTTACACTGTTGCCTGAATTCATATTATGGATTTTCTTTTTTTTTTACTATATATACTGAATAATTAATTTATTATTATTATTTTTGTCTCTGTATGTTACTTTCCTTAACCCTCAACACGGGGTCGGTCGATTTGACCGAGTCACATGACCTTTGTACTCATATAAAGTTGATATAAATTGAATACTTATAACTCTATATATTGGGTATATCTTTACAAAATTTGGCAGTCTTTCAGTTAATATTACAAGTCTTTCATATGCAAAAAGTCGTATTTCTTAGTGAAGTATTTTTAATAAAATAAAATAAAGAATTGTCCATGAATATGTTGAGTATTTGTAGTCCGTGTGCAAAGTAATTTTCATGTTAAAATTGAAAATACTTTTTGTCATCTCAGATTTCTTTTGTGTAATCCTTAAAACCTCCTAAATGCATTTCAAACATTTTTTCCACTAAATCCTTATAGTTTATATGTTATTTTCTCTACCCTATCTCAAAATGGGATCGGTCAATTCGACTGATCTCATAATCACAAAAAAAAATAAAAAATTGAAATAAACCTAAATTAACCTCATTGCAATTAACCTAAATTGCACGTTGTGTAATTCAATACTGTAACTTAAGGTATACCGTGTGAAAATCTTGTATGTTGTGTAATTCAATACTGTAACTTAAGGTATACCATGTGAAAATCTTGCATGTTGTGTAATTCAATACCACAACTTGAGATATACCATGTGAAAAGCTTGCATGTTGTGTAATTCAATACCGTAACTTGAGGTATACCATGTGAAAATCTTGCATGTTGTGTAATTCAATACTGTAACTTAAGGTATACTGTTTGAAAAGCTTGCATGTTGTGTAATTCAGTACTGTAACTAGGTATACCATGTGAAAAGCTTATGTAATATTCATAAACAGTTTTTTTTAAATTAAGAAATAAATTAAATTTTTAGATATTGTAAGATGTTAATTTTTTTCACATAATGGAAGTATGAATGTGTTTAGGGCAGTTTCAGTACTGTCGTGTTAAACATGTGTAAAACTAGTTTGGCTAATTTGTGGTATACCTTGTGAAAATCTTGCATGTTGTGTAATTCGATACCGTAAATTGAGGTATACCATGTGAAAAGCTTGCATGTTGTGTAATTCAATACCGTAACTTGAGATATGCATTTGCTGGGTAATTTTAGTATTTTATGCAGGTTTAATGGTTAGACATGATTCAAATAGCAACAGAAAGATAAAATTAAATAAAGACAGCCGTAAACTGTTATGAGCCTGAAGCTGTTTAGGAAAAATAATTGTAATATTCTGTTACAATCTACAGTCATTCTAGAAAAAAGAAAACAGGTAATTTAGATTTATTTTATATGGTGATTACAGGATTGGTCAAATGAACAGAGCTAGTATAATGTTAGGATGGTGAAAATAACAAATAAAGTATAAAGACTCTAACTCTAGTCAGACTCTAATTCCATAAATTCAGACAAATCTCTATTAAAAATATTTAATTAAAAAATTGATTTTTGTATACAGAATACTTGTTATGCTTACTAAAAGCTTGTCAAATTTTGTGAAGATAAACTAATTATGATATGTATAGTTTTATGGTTATATAATGGTGACGAGGTTGGTAAAACAACCAAGCCTATGTATAGAGGGTTAATTGAAACATCAGATTTTTCAAAAAATAGCTTCATGCATCAGTTATTTAGGAATTGTTTTAGTTATAACACATAAGCAGTCAGAACAAAAATGTTCTATATTCTTGACTGTTTCACTTTAACCCTTTCAAGATGGGTCACGGGTGAAAGGCCATGTTTTCTAGTTTGTTGACTCACATTCAAAATTTTATTGAACTACTATTTCATGAATTTATGACAATAAGTTTGGTATCAAACTGTAGATTATAAT